AGAATTCATCTAGGGCTCGGAGCATCGTGAAGGAGATGAGCCGTCGCGATCGCGGCGTCGAGAAACGGAGGGGGCTATCTCAACGTCTTGTTTAAAATTCAAGATTTTCGGATCACGCTATAAAAAGCTCAAAGATGAGTGCGTGGGAAAATCTGGTGTCCTGTGGTTGGCCGATGAGATCTTGATTAAATTCTTCCCCCCTGAACGGGAGTCTCAAGTCGAATGAGCTCCTCGATACGGGAAACCCCGGTTGAACGAACGCCTCGCTCAGGGAGAATTCGGTATTCCTTTCTAAGGAACCTCTCCTCGGCCGGAGAGAGAATTTCGTGACCGAGGAATACAATTCTTCCGGTGGGCGGAATTCGAACCTCCGAGAAAATCATTTATGATGCTCCAAATCGGATTCATGAGATCCTACGCCGGAAGGCACCCGCCCGCAAAGACGATGTGCCATGGGCTTAAATCGGAAGTCTTTAAACCGAGCATTCACTATACGCTGGCGTGGAGTCATGCTATCGATCGACCACGAAAAAATCGAGGGTGGTCTGCCTATTTATAGGTTATCAGTCTATCGATCGATAGTAACTAAATTCAAAGGCTGCGAAGCGAAAGAATGAATCCCGTTCTGACTTCGCGAGCCATACGCCAATGGTAGACATGCATTGGAGACTTTTGTGGAACATCTGGCAGATACGGGAACCTTCTTGCGAAGGTGAGCTAGAATAGATTCATTGGAGAGTTCTCAATATTCAGAAGCGAGAGCCAATTGAAGGGAGAGCTAGGACGACTCAAGAGCAGCGTCTGAATGTGCGTCGATGTGAGAAGGCTCTCCGGGGATCCTCCAAGGCTCGTTGTGCTTCTTCAGAGAAGGTCTTTAAATAGGGTCACAATCCGGGACTTTCGGTAAGATAATGCTCCTTTACAGATGCATGTGAACTTGCCGGCCACTAAGGATTGAGGATCGTCGAAGGATCCGGGACGCCTTGTTTCGCTGATGCGGAATCAAAAAATAATCGTCCAAGTCCCCTCAAGCTCCGAGCGGATGTGTCGGGCCTCCCCTGAATGGGTTGAGCCGATCCAACTTTCATTCCGTTTGCTCATCCTGACTTAACACCAAGTCTCCATTTATTGTTAGTATCGAGATCCACGCGGGTTGTTTCTATCGTTCCTGGGTTTCCGCCATTAAGGCATACGGGAGCTCCCGTCCGATCCATGCGTTCGTTGGGTGCGATCCAAAACCACAGGACCTGCGCGGGGTGAGGCTCCCGTCCCGAATCAGTCTTTCGCTCTACATGGCTCTTCTTCAGGGTCGTTGAAGCAGCTCCCATCGTCGCATAGTCTGCGTCTCGGACGCTCGTCGAAACCCTCCCCGGCTCCCCAACCGCTCATGATTTCTACACTGAGGTGATTTCTCCCTGTGCCTTGCACCGATCACAAGGCGTCTAGGCCCACAGTTCCTGGGGGTGGTGCCCGTGAATGAATGATTACCCTCTCTCTGGCACCACCTCCTTATTGTATGGGGACATCATCATGCAATGAGAATTATTTAAAGCAGACAGTCACATAGATCCAGCGAACAGCAGGAGGGCAAAATGTGATCTGATGGCAGCACGTATCTTTCGACAAAGCCGAGGGGGGAGAATGCAGCATCAGCGGCTTCACTCGCCGCAGAGGAGGTTCTATTGATGAGCATAGGCGGGTGATTTCGTTCGTTTCAATTCTTCTCTATCCGAGTTGCAGTCCTCTCTCATGTGGCATTCACGCGAGTTGTCTCAGAATGTCCGGAACTGGTCGTCGGACCGCTCAGAACAGCGAGAAAGAGGACTATCAAGAGGATCAGTATCGTGAAGAAAGCGATCGCTTTTTCGAAACAGCTGAAAGGAGGAAGAAATGAGCGCTAGATTCGAATTGCATCCACTTCCGGAGATTGTTGCTTGGCGAACTACTACATCTCGTGTAGAGTTTCTCCAAGAAACGCTGAATCAGTTAGGACCCGACGACGCCTCGTAGTCGAGGCAGACTTTTGCAGAGAAGCTTGTCTGCTCGCAGAGTGTTGGAGGAAAGATCGACGATGGGGGTTCGTTGCCGGCCTCGGCTCGGTATTCATGAGTCGCGCGAAAAGTCTCGCACAAAAAAAATCGAGTGTTCCATTCTCATCACGGAAAAAATGCAGATAAACAGGGTGAGCTTCCCAGAAACCGTACTTGCTCATGCTCGGGGGGTCTTTCTCCTCCCTCCTCCGTGATGGATATTCGCGATCATTATGCTAGTAATCGCCGAGGATATGCATATGACGGGGCTAGTCCAATCAAGAACTCTTGGAAAATTACAAGAGATTCGTACGTAAAAAACAAAATTGTTCATACTTAGCAGGACAACGGGAGGGCAACACAGGCACATCCGTCAAGGAAACGGAGAATTCCGTGAGTGTGGTAGAGGAGAGATCTATAAAGTCGAACGAGCGTTTCGCTCTCCCCACATGGCTTTCTTTCTCGTCTGAACTCACAGTGTCCAACGGATCGACTTCAGCACTCATCACTCGTGATTATTATCGCTCATTACCTGCTCAGTGTTTATATTCCGCATGGATGCGGAATATAATTTCTGCGCGTCTTCATTATCGGCAAGGAATCAATCGCCGCAGAGTTCCGGAAAGTGAATGATCTTCAGTGAGATCCGTGGTGATCAGTCTGCGTCAACGGATTGGTGTTGTCCCAATAAAAATACCCACACTTCACGAATGACTTTCCGATTGTGTAGCATCCATCGCTCCCATACTCCCATGCGATCGGCGGAGGAGGAGCACGATAATTTGAAATCTGGATAACGATGTCATTTCGTCCCACGGTGCCGAGGAAGCTGTGCGAGCTTCGAGGTGACTGTCACGATGCTGTCTGCCTCCCAATTTAATCGAGTCGGAAATGAGACGGTCGCAGATTGCGAATCGAGTCTGATTTCGAATTCGTCCTCTTCCTCATGTTGTGGAGAAAATCGACGACGGAATGAGCTGCAAGTTGCAATATCTTGATCTCGATGATCTATCATCATCAGTTTGAGGCAGGGCGCGCCCCTCGAGCGGCCTTCCTGTGATTCGAAGAGCTTTAACTAGCGGAAGGTCTTCAATTCAGCTGGAATTGAGACAGGCTAGCATGGAGCATGTCGGAGGGACGCAAGGTGAAAAAAGAAACATCCAAGCGGACTGTGAGATCCCCCGCGTTTGGCGGAATCTATCCACTCTCCGATTGCAAATGGTGATTTCGCGTGTTTCCGCAACTGCTGCGGCCCGCTTGGTAGATTCCTGGGGAATACTCGCGAGCTTATTCCCTCGAAACTTTCAAATCGTTCGCGAAGCCTCGCGCTCGACCATTTGAGATCCAGAAGGCCTGAGCTCAGCACCGATCAGCGATCGTGTCAATGCAATAATCGCGAATACATCAACAGATATATATAAATAACTCCGCCCTCATGATTGCCATTGGTGGAAATATCCCTTCCCTAGGACGAAGAGATCAGGCAAGCCCGGATCGCGACAGAGTATTGAATCAAACATTGCGGAGCATCAAAATAAGAAGGCCCTGAGAACGCTCTCGCTCGCTCGTGGGTCTGAGTGACGATAAAGAGTAAAGTGGTGCGACGCTTCCGCCTTAAGTTCCAGCGTGGCGCCGCCCAAGTGAGTCCGGAGACGTGGACTGACAGTTGCCTTCGAGCCATTCGAAGTGGAGGAGTGCAGCCTTTCTGAAGAGGCCCAGTCCGGCTCCTTGTCAAGGTCCGAAATCGGCGCTCTTGCCGGTTCGATACTCACGCGTGGCGGTCTCGATATTTTTGGACCCGATTCAGATCCGCTGCGGGGAACTTGATGAGTGATAACGATAACTCATTCTGATCATTCTGCATAATACGACGTTCACAGAAAGATCTTCAGCTGGAGTCGACCGGCGTCCGTTTCGCATGCTCAGCTCTGATGGACGAAACCCAACCATTGCGCTCTTTATAAGACTTCGTTCCGGAGATACCTCGGCCCAGATCGAGTGTGCACTATACGTGACTCTCCTACCTGCTCGGTGTCTGAGGTTTCTCAGCATCCTACGACTTCCCCGATAGGAACAGCTAGCAGGACTTCTCGAGATCATTCCCCAGATCGGAAGGTCAAAGACGCACGCAATGCGGTCATTCTACTTGACCCTGATCGGGGCGACATTGCTGTGTAACCGTATGGGTGACTTCGGAAGTAATATCTATTCTGATTCTCAGAGACTAGAAAAAGAAACATCGACCCGGAATAGTGGATAGGAAAGCGAGGTCGAGAGTGAAAACATGCCGTCAATGAGAAAACCCCCGTTCGTCGCAGTGCCGGATCCGCTTCGGGTAGCCAATGGAAGAGACGAAACTCATGGGAGCGATCCTCCGGTTCTGATGATGAAGCCTCTTGAGTTGGTGGCTCATCCAGCCTGTCATGTGAGTATCATGTACTCCAATATTCCAGAATTATTCGTGAATACGGCTTTCATAAATTCATGGTTTCCAGCAATTTTTTTCGGACACCGTCACCCCACCTGATTTTAGAATGGGCACCGGAACTGGATACTACAAGAACGAAATTCAATAAACTCCTATTCCTTGTCGGAATGACGCTTGCAACATCGAACGAGCCAACTGCAGAGTTCTTGAACATGAACGACGAATTCCGGCGTCCCATCCTCTGGCGACGGACAGACTTTGCATAAGCAAAGCGCTATTGTAAGAAGCCCCCATATCACCCGAGATTGTGAAATGACGAGGCTTTATTGCGGGCGGGAGAAGGCTAAGTGAATCTCAGGGACGGGGCGGATCGATTCCTGGGATCGTCCCTCAACATGAGGTATCAGCATTCAGGCAGTCGATGCGAAAGAAGAGTGAAGGGGAAATAATCATTTTACCGCTTCCCCCTATGGATGAATCTCTGCGTCCCAGAAGGTGGAAATAACATTCGTGGCATTTTAGTCGTTGAACTCGCGATCATTTCAACTGAGATCGGGGTTTCTGGCTTTGTTTTCTTTTTTGTGTTTTTTTAGCGCCTTCGTATTGCCGTAGAGAATGAGCGCAGCTGCCACCGCAGTGAGGAGCAAGGCTAACCCGGTGTTCGAATACAGAAAAAATTGTGGGTTTTCGCTGATCCGGCTAACTACGATGAATGGAATCAACATCACACCACTCGATATGAGTACCATTATGAGACCAACAGAGCCCGGTGTCAGCTGAATGAACAGAACACTCCAAGCCGTACCATTGGACCAATATGGAGAAAGCCCGAACGCAACCAGCGCAGTGCCAAGCCACGTGACGAGGGCTGGTGAAGTATCGAGGAAGAACATCATTAGCACTACGCTGGTCACGTAGATGAAGTGAGATCCCACAATGAGTTGAGCGACGCCGAATTTTAGGGACAGCCCTGTGGTCACGATTCGACTCACAGTATAGCTTGCCCAGAACAAGGAGGTGAGAAACGCAGCTTGAGATTTAGTGAAGTGCAATGACGGGTGGCTCACAGCGAATGTGAAAACCATCGAGGAGAATCCGAACTCACACGTGACACCCACTGTCAAGTACAAGGCCAGAAGAGCGAGGACCGTACGTCTGGAGCTGAAACGGGATCGAATCGTTCAGGGTCCCGAGCATTATTTTCTCTCGCGGAGCTTCAATCGGAACACTGAGTTTCCTGTCCTCTCTAGCGAATAAAGGGGGGAGAGTCGAAATCACTCACTGCTTGGGGAGATCTCGCTTGAAATAAGAAGTTTCTTTGCTGGCTTTAAAGTCTGAGCTGTCCATACAGTAGGGAATTATCATCGACAGCGCATTGATGCCATGGATAGCAGCGATGATGCAGAAAGCTGTAAATATGCGTGATCCACTTCTCTCGGGAGAGGTTCCACCGTTTACAAGCTGCGTGACGTTGCCCTCGATGCTGACAGACGAAAACTCGGCTTTCGAAGCGGTCACATTCTCATAGAGCCTGGAATCGAGTCTGAACCTTTTAGATCGCACTGAGCTCTCCCATTTCACCTACGAGACGATCGATCACGGTTTGACGTGGATTTCAAGAGCGATTCCGAGGGTTCTCACCTCGAATCATTCTCCATTCCCCGAAGAAATGGCTCACAAATGAAGGGACCTACGATGCCGCCGAATCCAAACATGAAATTCATGAAGTGGAAAAATGATCCGCTGCGCTCTTTCCAGATGACTTGAAGCCACACATGGATACCTGTGACAACGGGATTCCTCCATCAAACTCTAGGGAACGCGGAGTAACTCTGGGAGGACGCTGGAACGTACACAGTCGGATTGTGTCTGACTTGTTTCCAGCGTCACGATACTGAAGACTAGAACTTTGCTCACCGATTTCCATGAATCCCATTGAGCAGCCGACGAAGAATGTCAGAACGTGAAGATAAATGATAGAAGGTAGAACTGTAGTCAGCAGAGCCGATATGGCTCCAAAAATGACACAAGCCATTAAAACCACTTGGAGATTCACGAATTTGTAGACTAGTGCGCCTGTCGCGGGAAATCACCTTAGCCAAACCGAACTATTATATATTCTGCCTGAGGGAAACCCCCCGACTCAGAGTAGGACGAGACAAGCTTTTGAATTCGTCAGAATGTGGTGAAATGGGTGAGCCCGGAATCCGGCATAGGCGCGAAGGGAAACGTATTCCAGGAGAATCGACAGCGATAAGAACAGGAATTGGACGACGACAGCGGTTGTATTTTGGTCGGTGGGGGTGATCGCCCAGAGTTTTGTTCGAGAACTCCCCCTTCGATGGAGACTGCTTGCGCGTTTGATTACGATATAGATCAGGGGCTCGCCATGTCCTCCGACGAGTAATGACCCGTCAAGGAGGAAGGACAATATCCGTTGCGACTGAGAGGAACGCTGGAATACATGGGGTTGCCTTCAGTATTTTTTCCCTAATCCGAAATCGATGCATCAACTTCCGAAAAGACGACTCAGTTCCTCCTGCCTACCCTGTGCGTAGCACAGCACGCGGAGGCCGCGTGACTCATTTGTGGGGAATGAGCTCCAATCATCGCCTCGTCAGCTTTCTGCAGCCGCAGCAGCGGTAACCAGCGGGAGAACTCTGTGATTGTGGAGCCTGTCGGGCCCGGGTCATACCAGCGCATTGACAAGGGGCCGAACGATCAGGGAGAAGGTCGTGATCCCCTTCTGAAGACACTCAACGGACAAAAACGTGTTCGGTGCAGTACGGGAAGGCGCCGAGCGATTATTTTCACGGCGAATCGTTCTTTCGCATTTCATCTTCCGACGATCTACATTAGAACTTCTTCCCTGCGGAGAAAGATGCCCAAACAGTTTCGCCGATGACTCCTGAAGATCCCTGCTGGTGTCCTCGCTGCACCGGCTCATGTTGTAGAATGTTATACTTTTTCGTTCAACATCGAGCCAAATTTTTCGCGACGTCGATAGTTTGCTGAGGCATTTTTTTGTAAACGGACATGACGGGAGACTCTATTCTATTCGGCTCACGGAAGCAAATCGAAGCTCGCGGCATTCTCCAGATCACTCCCATCTCGGTCGAGTGAACCTTGCTTAGATGGGCTCCGCGCGTTCATCAGCGGTCTTTCCTGCCCTCTTCGCGCCTTTTCCCGCCCTCCCCGCGGCTTCTTGCCCCACGGAGATCATCGGAAGTACGTAGGCCATGTGACGAACCGAAGCAGTTTTATGCGGATTCAGCTGACCATCCCAGTCGAACGGACAACCATCATGCAGAACAGAACGAGGGCAACGGAGCTGGATGAGTGTCTTCCGAAGCCGGGACAGTTGCCGTGAAAAGAGGCATCTCTCGAGATTCCCATCCGATATTATGTCTAATGTAAATCACCGTTTCACTGTTCCGATACAGTACCAATGAGGCTTGAGAAAACAGAGCCGAGACCGCGAGCCGTCAGGGTGATCGAGGTGGCTCTTATGCTCTCGCGGTAGATATCGGCCACATCTACGAGCGTCGCCCCGTACACTGCGATCGCCATACCCTGGAGCAGGAAGTCGGAACGACAGTGAAATCTCAATTTTTGCACTCCCGCACCTTCCTAGACGTGCAATATTCTAGACAGGAGGTCTCTAGAGTCATCCCGGTCCCTCAGCGGGTCTAGAAGAACATGAGATTGCGCATGAACAGCGAGTTCATTCAATGCGAGACTTCGAAAACTCTACTCACGTAGGTGACTGCGATGAAGTTGAGGTTCACTGTCTGCAGCCATCGCAGGGTATCTCGAGACGGCATAGCTCGTCGGCGGGAGACTACTCCCGAGCGCAACACAATTTGTCGGGCGCTCACGCTGCTCGGCCTGACGATGGAGACGTCGCGACGCGTCGCGACGGAGCGCGCCAGGATGAGCGTATTGTAGAATTATCTCAAATTCATCACTCACATCCACTAATTACCGCGCTTCCGGCAGTTCAGGCTAAGTCTCTCCCCGTGCTTCAGTGCCCTCTCCTTCGATCATCAACATGACGTGAAGGGTCGAGCCCAAGTGAATCCGGCGGCTCTCTGAAAGTTTCACCCTTGGCCGACCAGAGACGACGTCGTCCCCTGCTAGTGCTCGAGCGTTTCGCTGTATGTGCATCGATCTGGATGTTCACGAACCGATCGCTCCTGTAGCCGAGTGGACAGGAAACGGATTCATAGATTACTGGGGAAACTTCCGGATTTCCTCGAATTTCTAGCATATCAAGTCGATTGGTTGACAGAGCTCAGGATTTGGACCAGAGTCCCTCCCTTTCGTATGTCGTTAACTTTCCCGACCATCAGCTCCTTCCACCGGATCCGCAATCGGCATAAATTCCTTCTCTCAGGAGGCACTAGATTCATGCGAACATTCGGTGGCCTTCCTCCAGGAATAGCGACCGGGGCGAGTAGATTGCCCGGACTGGAAACACTGGCCTTCGGGATCATCAAGAAATTCATTTATTAGGTACTTTTCCGCGGAGTTCAGTGAGCGTTCAGCCTTTCGGCTTCCTTCCCAGTTTTGTGCCTCACGAGTGCCTTGGTGTTGCCGTAGATGATGAGAGTCGCCGCGAGAGCAGTGAGGAGCAAAGCCAATGCGGTGTTGGAATAAAGGAAAAATTGGGGGTTCTTATCTATTTGGTTGCCTATGAAGAAAGGAATCAACATAACGCCGCTCGAAATCACCACGAGGATCGGTCCCAAAGCAGCCGGCGTGAGCTGCACGTACTGCACGCTCCACGCCGTGGCGTTAGCCCAGTAGGGAGATAATCCGAATGCCACGAGGGCCGTCCCCAACCAACTACTCAACATCGGCGAAGAATTTATGAAGAGCATCATCGATAGAGCGCTACTCAAGTATATAAAATGGGATCCAACTATCAGCTGGGCTGGACTTAGCGTCAAAGATAAAATCGTCGTGAAGACTCGACTTATCGTATAGCTCGCCCAGTAGAGAGATGTCAAATACGCGGCTTGAGATTTCGAGAAGTTGAGCGATGAATGGTTCACGGCGAACGTGTATACCATCGCAGAGAAGCTAATTTCGCAGGTAACACCCACTGTCAAGTACAGTGCCAGCAGCGTGAGGACTGTGCGTCGTTCGCTGGGAAGGAAATGGACTTTGTCGGTGAAGGAGCTTCTCGCAGCGATGTCACGGAGGTTTCATTCTGGAGAAAGTAGCACGAAATCAAAACTCACGTTCGGCCAAGATTCTCGGAGAAATACGTCGCATTCTTGTTCGGTTTGAAATCCGTGCTATCCATGCAATAGGAAACGATCATCGATATAGCGATGAAAGCGTTGATGGCAGCAATGATAGAATAAGCCGTAAATATCCGTGATTCGCCTCCAACAGTGAGGATGCCATGTTTTACGACCGGTGTTGTGTCTCCGAAAGATGATTCGACTGTCGTGTTCACACCGAGCATCGTTGAGTTTTCGGTTGCCCTGAAAGTAGAATCTCCCCACATTACGACCGCCTATTCGAATTCAAGCAGAATACATTCAAGGAATTCTCTTCTGCCAGGGTCGGATCTGAGTGTCTCGAGAAGTTGTCTCCGAACTGTAAGTATTCACGGTAGATATGATCTGCCTTCCAGTTACGACGCTCACATCGCGGCATTCCGAGTTTCCAGTAGAAACGGCTCGCACACGAAGGGCCCTATGATGCCGCCGACTCCGAACATGAAGTTCATGAAGTGGAAAAATGACCCGCTCCGTTCTTTCCAGAGGACCTGGAGCCAGACATGTACACCTGGACGAGAAGCACTGATCGTAAACTTGTGGTATCGATGATGATTGCGGGGACAGATGTGCGTATGTTCAAGGTCCAAACATTTTTCGTGGTTCCTCCACTGTGTTCCCTGATTCTAACCGATATCCATGAAGCCCATGGAGCAGCCGACGAAGAAAGTCAGCACGTGGAGATAAATGAGCGATGGGAGAATCGTTGTAAGGACGGCAGCTGTCATCCCGAAAACCGCAGTACCCAACAACATGATTTGAATATTCACATGTTTATAAACTAAAGCACCTGCAAGAATAGTCTCAGTCAGTCGTTTCCTACGCGCTTTGGGCGGCTAAGAAAATTGTCGATTTTTCCAAAGATCAGCGACTGCTTCGGTCATGGCCGAGAGCCCCTAATCGAAACGCTACCGTTCCAAGTGCGCACTCAAGCTCTGGAAGAGCGACGTAACACTCGAGGGTCTGGATTCGACACAGTCCGAGAAAGGAACTCCTTGGGACCCGCCCAAGGAGTCACTAGAGCGCGGTAATGCATAGCATCTGGTCACAATTGGACAATGTTCGCATGACAAAACGGATCGCAGCGATCTCATCTCTGTTACTTACTGTTTTCCTGTCTAGTCACCGCGTTCGCCGGCTTATGTCAAAGGCATTCCTTATTTTGCGACGAATACCAAGTCTATCTAGACCACTTCTATCGCGCCGCGTTTTCGACTCGATGGCCAAGAGAGTCAAGAAAAAGATTTTCGGTGGGTTCGAGAGCTTTGGTCTCGTGCCAGGTCGCTTTGGATGGGGCACCGGAAATGATGAACGGACATGGGAGTAAGGAGCCACTGATAATAATCGGCTAAACGACCGCAGGGGGTTCCGAGAGACCATTCGCAATGGGCATTAAATGACTACATGTGATTAGACGCTCTGTCACGATAGAACTGCTCCCCCGACGGAGAGACCGTGTCTTTGAGGGTCTGAAGTGCCTACTTCGACCGAAGGCCCGTTTCGAGGGATCAATGAGAGGTTGTGATTCCGTTGTCTCCTTCAAAATTTATACAATTGAATGTGAAGCGGTGTTTACCAATCAAGCTGGAGAAAATTGTACCGAGACCCCGAGCCGTGAGAGTTCTCGATGTCGCTTCTATGCTTTCTCCGTAGATCGCGGCAACGTCGACGAGGGTGGCTCCGTACATCGCGCAAGCCATTCCCTGGAGTTCATTCGGAAATTTTGAAAACGTTCCAGGAGCGTTCGAGCATTGTCTATCACATTGACTTTGCAGGCAATCTCCAGTGAATCCTTCTCAGGAATTTTCGGTAGAGATCGAGAGATGGGGAATGGTTCGATCGGCGTTTTCCATCCTGTAGGGGACGACTTACGTGAGTCACTGCGATGAAATTCACATTCATTGTCTGGAACCACCGCAAATAATTGTGGGACGACATTTTTCGCGATCACAGCTCTGATTCGGAACGAGTTGGAGCGGTCTCGTCGTCCTCCGTGTAGCGGAGGTTCCGACTGGGGTCACCGCAACTAAATGACTATGGTGCGGCGGCGTTTCAGAATTGTCTATCTCTCGTCAATAGCACGCTTATACAAGTAGTTTCCACCATGTCTCTTGCTCCCGCTCTTGTCCTTTCCTCTGGACATCGATATGATGCCGCTCTCGTCACGGTCAAGGTTGAGTGACTCTCGAAAGTTCATCGTATTACATTTTCCTAGCTACGCAAGGAACAAATCATCCGAGATGCTTTATTCTACCGCTCCTTCACATTGATCCATTTGGAGAGCTCGTGAATGACTTCGTACGATTGAGTTGACGCTCAGGGTAAGCGAGAATCTGCCGCGGATCTCCGGTGAGCAGACTCCATTCCATCCGACAGAGATGCGGTGCCGGTAAGCGGGGCTCGTAGTCAGTCAATTGGCCCAACCGCCTCCTGAGCGTCGAAAGATTCATGGATATCGTATATATCCTTCCTACAGACGTCGTAAGAATCCGGGAAGTATCAGCCCAGGGAAAAATCTCCCGGTCAGGTTAGGTGACGAAACCATTGAAGCAGATGAAATCGCCAAACTACATTCGCTCTATTTGTAGGCTGCGGGAGGGGATCTCCATGGGCTCCGCAGTTTTCGGAAACTCTCGAGCGATCGTGTCGCCGAGTGAGGAGCAGAGCAGGTATCCACGGCAATGGACTTTATTCGTAATGAAAAAACTCTATGAAATTTAGATGTGAATTATTGAATGGAGGATTGATATTGTTCCCGAAAAAATGTGTCATTGAAGCCCCCAAACGAAGAGTCCTTGCCGCTGAAGATGCGAAATCCCGCCGACACTTCCGCCGGTGACTCACTCTCAGGCCATCGACCCCGCCTGAAAGCAGTTCGCGCTACGCAGCTTTGATCCTCGCAACGCTTCGACCGGCCATCGAGAAGGCGCAGAATCGAGTCACTTGGGTATGAGATAATAGATTGTATCTCTATGAGAGCCGTTCGGTAGCGGAACCTGCTGTCTCTGTTGACCTAAGGATAGCAATGATCATCCTCATCAATCGTCAGAGCTGCAGCCCTCGGGGCACATTCTGACGTTTCCGAGTAGGACTGAACCTTCAGAGTCGTCGAGCGTATCGCGAGTTCTCGGTATGATCCCGGATTTAGCTACTGAAGGACGACGCCTAAGATCTGTTCACTGGCAGAGCATAGTACTCCTCAAGCCTGATCGGGAAGGGGTCAGGATACAGTCGGTATATTTTACGCAGGGAAAGTCGAGAACGTACGGCATCTTAATCCCACCTTCTCCGGAAATGAGGCCCCGTTTTATCTTCGCTGATGGTTCATCCGAATGGTTACAAATGTGCTGGGGGGTATTCGAAGGAGGTCGTGAGTGAGGCGGAACGCGCCTGTCGGTCGAATGGTCCATCAACTAGGACTCAGAATGATCACCCACTATCGAAAGCTAGGCTGTGCACATGAAAAAAGTGAATGTCCGCGCGAAGGATGCAATCCGAAAAATGGTTTACGCGGCTCCGGCTATTTTGCCGCACAACCCAGATCTTCATGGGAAGGAGAAACTGACATATCTATTGACACATTCGAATAATGGATTCAGTCATCGGAGCGGGGGAATTTCGTTTGACAGAAACTTTCGGATGGTTTCATTTCATTTCTATTGATCCGTATGCACAATGGTGGTGATTTCCCGGAGCTCGTGATCGGAGAGAAAATTTAATGACTTCGTCGATGAGAGAATGAGCTGAATTGGCGCAGCTGATTCCTCTATTAAGACAGACGCTCCACTAAGACTTGACACAGCGAGGGACGGAGGTTCCCTCGATTATCCGCGGTGAGGACATGTTTCCCGATACGCTACTATTCAGCGACTTCAACTCGACGTCCTCCTCCAGAGCAGGAGGCTGTGAAGACATCATTCCCCTTAAAGAGAATTCGACATCGGCTGAGCATTTCTGATGAATAACGATCTGGACTGAAAAGGCTACCAGTCAGTCGTTTATGCGTCCGTCAAGCAACTCAGACGCCGGGTACCACTGCGCACCCCCGCCTGCGCAGAGTGCGGTGCGAAAACTTCCTTTCGCCAGGGCTCTCTACCTTCATCGGGTCAGCGTATGAAATTCTGTCTGAATGACGACTCTCAAACCGATTCGTTCGATCGATACTCAAACTCTAAAGCAAAGAATAGCGGAATAAATAGCGATAGTCAAACTTGAACACATATATTATTGCATCGATATATCTGAATTTTCCACATCGAATATCCGTTTCGATCTTGGATCACCGTTTTTCGTCAGTCATGCAAGGGTAATTTCGCGCACAGATATCTTCTTCGACTCGGTTGTTTTCCCTCGCGATATCCACAGCCGTCCGCACGTCCTCCATGATCTCCTCGTAGCGATCTATTGACTCGGCCTGCCGCCCGTTGTACATGCTCCATCCGGTCAGGAGTATCTTCCCGGCTCCGAGATACTCCGCGGCCTGATCGGGGTTCTCGCAGGCCAATCTCATCAGGCAAGTGTTCGGTCCAGAACTCGGAGCGAGAACGTAATGCTTTGCGAAGTTCCATTCCCAGTCGTTTATCGCGAGTTCCGATTCCCCGAGGTTCCTCTTTGAGAACCTGTCACCGTCACCGGAGGGTGAAAGTACGAGAGCTTTCAGGATGAGAATCCCCTTGGCAGCGAGGAGCGTCACGAGGTTCCCGACGTTGAAGCTCGCAATCGTTGATTGTCTACCTGTTGCGACGAGTTTTTCTCCTCTCGGTAGGGGTCTGCTCGCTACGTCTGACACCGAGAACATTACAGCAGCGAAACACAGCAGTGAAGACGAACCAACCTTCATGGTTATGGCGTGGAAATTTCTATCAGCCAGCCGCACGACAGACGAACGGATGCTCCAGACACGGGTCACGCAGTAAGTCGAAAGAGACGCGAAAGTAGTTGAAGGAGATCGTTCCACGGAGATCCAGCAAGCCGCACTTTTGGAGGAGGTCCGCGCCCGATTTTGCGGGTTATCGAATGAGCAGATCCCATGGCCGCTTTAAAGTTCGAGGAAGTCGGCTCCAGCGTATGAATCGACGCGGGGGAGAGACTCCGTGATTCGCGAGATGTAGGCCGGCTTGCGGGGGATCGAATCGCCCGGTGGGCGTCGCAGGACCGGCCAACATATGATCCGTAGCGTAGATCATCCATCGTCACGGTTCGCCGTGAAAGCGACTCCGATGCGTGAAGCCGCGATCACTTTACATTAGAGGGAGCACTCATCTGATCTTCGCCGCAGCTAATTGGGCGGTTGATGCGATCGAGGGGGTGGCTCCGTGAGCAGAACTCGGAGCAGACTAGCATTGGGAGGCATTGCTCAAAGAGAAAAGCGACGGAGGAAGGTCGGCGGAGTATAACAGCTCTCGGCTTCGATCGACAACTGAACAGGATGCAAGCGGAAGCGATTTTGACCGTCGTCGAGAGACGGCTCCTCCCTTCGGATTGCGCTCACGGTGGGATGAAATTGTCCCGAGCGAGCTACGAAGTCCTCGATCGGCGTCTCGCACTCACCCGACACGAGGCTCCGATTCAAACAATGCCCGCCGTAGTCGCTCTCTAATATTTGATCACCGTCGAGCGCTCTGATTCTGCCACCTAAGTGGCTTTCGGGGGAGGACCTGAGACCTCCAGAGCGTTGATTGAGAAATCTAGACTGTAGGCGATGTGCGCCAAGTAAGCCCAACGCATGCAGCGCGTACAACGGTTTATGCAGCCGGCGTGGTTCTGCGGCGGCGCGTGGATCTCTTCGTGGGTTAACCGATCAGGGTATTATCGACGCCTCCCCTTGAGGGAGCTGTTCGATCGCCGGGACTGGCTTTCAACGCTCCTCGAAGATTTTCGAACAGCCTATTCAGGGCTGACCAACTCCGCGACTTCAAAGCACGCTGTCAGGCCGCTCGGTGTCGGCATCGCAGAACCAAAGACATTGCATCGTGGTTCAGATGAACCGATTTGAGAACCCATTCGTCAACCCAGTAGCGAACAAAAATTTCCGGACAGACCGCGGTTTCGCTGCGGACGCGACTTCCAACTTGCCCAAGGAGAGAGACCATACATGGGATTCGTCTGAGCGGTGACAAAGCCGATCGGTTGATTCGAAACAGCAGAGCCCGCCATTAAATTACTGACGATTGACGATAGCCGCGCTAACTACAGCTCCAGTTACTCGTCTCATAAGTTACCGCGACCGTTAACGGTCAGCAATTCGTCGTCTTCTCCAGATAGAACAATTTTTGAATCCCTAACTCGTGAGTAAGTCAGCGCTCAGACGGTTCCCATGTACGGTCTTTCTCCTTGTGCATGTTGGGAGCCGCGTCCGCAACGAAATCGCGCTCTGTCCGGAAATTTTTGTTCGCAACTGTATATCGTTATCGTGGACCTCGAGAGCTCTTCCGTATTCACACAGAATTATTATCGATTATTATTATTATTAAATTGGTTCTCGAGGATATTTTCAGCTTTGCTGAATTGTTGGAATTTGGTGCTCTATTCTTTCTCAGGGTCGGATCCTATTCTCCATGCTTTCTCCAAATGCGGGGGCTAGTGAGGATTAATGGATGTGAATCAGACCTGAGGGTTGAGATGAGAGAGGAGTACCGTGGCTCGATCCACCCGTCTTCATGACGAATCTAGTAGGTCACATCAGGGTGCTACCTAGTGACTCTCCAGTCATGACCATTGAGTCATCGAGAGGTCATCAAGCGCCATGGAAGTCTGAGAGTTCCTGGGGGACATTGAGAATCAGCTCACATCTGAGGGTTTCGCCCAAACCGCAGACGACGTCAATGAAGGAGGGCGAAGCATCGCTCAGGCTCGGAGCGAGGTCGCCCAAGAGGAAATCGACATCGGGACGCTATCGATGGGCTCGTGAAACGTCACCAGAAACCAGACTTGAACCCGGGCTTTCCGGGGCTTCCTCACGAAATAAAGGGACGGTATTTCCGTCAGGCACGTCTGAGAAATTCGAGAGTTTCAAATCACCGCCCTGGGCGACACGCTCCACGACAGATCGTCGGGCATTGAATGCATCCGGGCGAGCGAGAAATACACTCGACAAAAAATGTCTCCCGCGGGAATTCGTCTTTCTGGGCCGGGTATGCCCGTAGGGAAAGCCTCGATCTATATGTTCGCCAGGCATCCATCAAGGCAGCATTCTATGGCACGCTACCGGAAATATGCGAGCCTGGCTATATACTGTCTGTGGAAACTCGAGCGGCGCGCCACCTGCGGACCGGTCGGGGCTTCTTCTCCGGAACACCGTCGAGCTGAACGGTATCTACGTACGGATAAGCTCGAATCGCTCGCCGTTCCCTGGGGAGTCTTCTCCGACTCGGTAATGAGAATATTCTTTCGGGACCGTGATCGCGGCTCATAACTCCAGTCATTTCAGTCGTTAGGTATTCCGCGGGACTCCTCCTCGAGATATTCATCAATATGTATCCGCTCGAACTCGTTCGCAGACTCTGGCTATCTGGTATATGAATACGTGATTGTTCTCGCTTGAAACAGCGGCAAAGAGCGACCAAGGCGCGCGACGGGTCGGATTCGCTATGTCGGTGACAGTCGCTGCCGTCTACGGATGCTCTGCGGCTTCCGTATCCCGATGGTCTGATCGGCTGCGTCGATCCAGGACCATAATATGAAGAGATAGGTGATAGATCTCGGGAAATCTGTTCCCTCACAGGGGATAAGGAAATAGGTCCGATCCTGAGCGGGCAATCGCACTTGCGTCAGCTGTTGATTCGATGTCTGTATAAGGTGCACAAGGTGCGACTAGTAAACGTGCGCGCACATCGTGGAAGAGCCACAAACAGTTTTCTGAAGCCTTCCGTCCGTTCTGTGCCAAGCGTGAGAGCGTGAGTAGCATCGTAGATCGATGAGGCGAGCCGTGTGATCGGGGCCGGCGCGGCGGTGTCTGGTCCCAGAGAATCAAAATTCCGTCTTCGACGAAGGACTCTTGCCATCTGAGTCCAGCTAAACCCCGAACGAATATCGAGAGACCCACAATCCTTGAGGAATTCTCGGTCTTCTGCTAGTCTGAATCGATCTGAGTGTTTTCCTCTCCAGGGATCGAAGAGTGCAACAATGCCGAGAGGCAGAGGCAAGTCTCGGAAACAAGGAAACAGAGTGCCAGAGGCGCAAAGCCCCGCGAAGAGCGAACCAAAAAGTGGATTCGACAGAGGTAAGTCAGCTAAGATTGCATTCGACTAGAAACAATGACTCGGGTGTTATCCCCCCGAGAATCTCCGTAGCTCATCACGCATTCCTTTCTGATTTGAAACCCGATGTCACAAGCAGCTTTGGAGGCCGAGAGAATAATCGGCGTTGCAACAGATGTCGAACAGAATATTCGGTTCCTCATAAAATGGAAGAACACCGATCAAGCCGAATTGGTGCTCGCGAAAATCGCGAACGAGAAAATCCCTCAGGTGCGTCGACTGATTCCTGAACCGGTGGACAATTCGCTAACCTGTCCCGGGGATCGATCTGGAGTCTGAATATATGTTCTGTATCGATGCATTCTCGATCTCAGCTGAACGGGGGAAATCTTTTCCGCAGATGGTGATCAAATTCTACGAAGAAAGGCTTACGTGGGTCTGAAAATCGATTTGCGAGATTCCGGGAGCCCCATGTGAAGAGTCCCCCATCATGTGGCCCACCACGATCAATCGCTCCTGAAACTCCGCTCTTGAGTATTCGTAAAATACCACGAATATTCGGAACACCTGTATTTGCACTGGCGTCAATAAATGAACGATGAAGCATTATCGCATTATTCTCTACTCCAGTCGCATGTCTGGATGTCACCCTTAGGATTCGAAAAGTCGTTGAGAAACAGAAAACTCAGGGGAGGAGGCGTACAATGCGATTCTCGCTATGACGAATCTCTCGTCGGAAGAGCTGATGCGGACGCCAGACAGGGAGGGTGCGTTCGGGGTGTTTCATCACATGAACTTTATTCAAAAACGTATAACAGCTTCTGTCGACGCTCCCTCACGCGCCGGGGCTCTCGATCAGACGGAATCCGTGGGAGATTATATTCGCAGAAAAATAGAACAATCGATCATTGTCACAATCGGGTCGTCTTGTTCGACAGGTGATCGTAATCGTGATCAGAAGGGGGGGCGAGTTTCCTGGTCGGTGGTCATCGTATGGCAAATTTCGGATCAAGTAAAGATGAATCAAAGAAAGCGAGCGTCGTCGATTGTGTACAATGAGACTTGAAGGAACTACACCGAACGCCTTATGTAGGCGCCCAAGTGAGACGTTCTTCGTAGAAGCGTATGACGACCTGCAAAGTCGGAAATCGATAGCATGAGAAAAAACCTAGAGGAGCTCTTCAATGGCAATATGGATCCATGGATTCAAGGTTCGATCGTTCGATCGCTTCCGAACTCACCTGGGGACATTTCACGTTGGCAACTTTAGCAGGAACGAGGTCAGCCTCATCGCAGCCTTTCCATTTCACCACAAATCGTATTTCTTTCTTTATGTCGGTGGCCATACCGATTATACGCTCCGGTTCGAGTCCTGTAAATTATGAAGACATTGATTGAGGGACAAGGGATTGGGTAGAATATCATGCTCGCGTTCCGAGAATCTCTAGTCTCATATCGGAGCTCTCCGACAGAGCGCGTTGTGCTCACCTCGATCGAAGCCAGTCTTTCCCTGTTTCTTTGGTGGTTCTGCGCTCGGCTGATTATTGCTGCGCCGTTTCCTCTCACTCCGGCCCATCGTACTAGTCCCAGGTTCCTGCGAGAGAATACTATTCATGTATATGTTCCCTCGTTAACTCGGGAGGTCCATAAGAAAATACTCAAACGAAGTGAGGAACGCAAGGGGGGCGCGAGAGGAATCCATGGTATTCGAGGGAGTTTACCTTGTCAGAAACAAGTCCTCTGGAAGCGGATTTCTTCTTGAGCTTGTCTTCGAAGTCCCTTAAATGAAAATTCTGTTAGGGGAAGCCAGCGATTCTTCCTCACTGCGGACTCTCAGAGACGAATGTCGATTGCGGAAAATCTTCCCCGGACGCAATTTCCGTTGAACTTACCGAATGAAATCCCTGCAGTCTTCGAGATTCTCAACGGGCTCCCACGTGTTCTCGGTGTCGTCGTACCCTTTCCACTTGAGTAAATACAATACCTGGCGAAAAATAAAATCATTCAGTGAGCGGCGCCAAATAACTGACGCGGACTAGATCGGGCAAGCACTTTCGAGCTACCGGCGGAATATTCGGAACGTTGTGAGGAATCGGGGGTATCTTCCCAGAGCTACTGTGCGGAGTGCAATGGAGTTCGTCACGCTTCGGTATGGATTTCCAGGAACGATAAGTTCGTACGTTTAGTGATCGAATCAGGAGTACAATCCAGAAGTACTTCTTCGTCGACCGCTTTAGAATGGAGCATGGCTGCAACGCTCTCTCAGCAGACACGCTTCAGTGCAAAACAAACACGGCGTGAATCTCGATCTCCTTCCCCGCGGTCGATTTCGCGACGGTTGACTCGAAGAGAGACTTGTCTCAGGATGTCCGGTGGTGAAAGAAATACTTGACGTGCTTGTTCGTCGTGCCGTGTTCCGAATAAGAATAGGATCGAGGCATTCCACTCCAATAATTGGGGTTTGTCTTTGATCGAAGCCAATCACGGGCAAGTCTAGAGACGCTCTCCGACCGCCGAGAATGCGAAGTCTATCCCATTCCTGGGCGAACAGGAGATGATTGGGTCTGACTTAGACTTGTTTCCATTCAAGTTAGAGTGAGCGAGGAGAGACGCCGACTTCAAAGGTGTTGTTTCCTTGCAAAACCAACAATCTCATAGATCCGACTGACGTCTCTTAGACCTGTTGAGGGATGTGATTCACCTCACTGACCTTGTTATTCTTCCCCAACTTCTTCTCAAGAATTTTCTCTACGATGAATTCCGGCTCGGCCTCGGCTGCTTTGTCGTTCCGACGTGCACTCATTCTGTGGAGAAAAAGAAAATTCGAACTCCCAGTGAGATCTCAGCTGATGTTTTTTTTTGGATGCATTTCAACTTCAAACGCATGAGCACCTGAGCCTCAACAATCTTCGAGGGAAGCTCACTTCAAGCGCTACTGCCATGCGGCTAGCTTAGTTTTGATGATGAGTCCACAAACGCTCGTTGGAGCGGGGCTCCATGAAAACAACAAGTGTGCCGTTCTCGTGGAGAAACGATCACTGAATATTCGAAAGGATTTTTCCACCTACCGGAGATCTATATGAAGAGACTTTGACCAATCTCAAGAGAAGAGCTCCGCTCATGGGGAGACTGATTTCGTGTGCCGCCACTGATATTCGATCAGGAAGTTTTAGCTGAGAACACTCTCCTCCCATGTGTGTTTGGACCCAGTGAGTTCCGGTGCTCATTGGATGAACGCATTCTCTCTCTCCGATCACGACCCGGCTGCCCTTACGGCCGCTCTCCGCATCAGCCCGGGCTAATGATATTCAGAACTCCCCTCGGTTCTCGGAATCATTAGGATGAACTCCGATGTTCAACGCGATCGGGTCCAATCGTTCGAACTCGGAGGACGCGTGCCCCCAGCGCGCTTTACTGCTGCCAGCACCTCGAATCCTTTCGAGTTCCCATATATGAGGCCTGTATCTGAAAGTTGTTGAAGCTCTCAACTAATCAGATCGGCGTCCGCAGCATGCCTCCTGAAAGGCTCTCCCGATCCGAGATTCCTACCCCAGCCGGATCATGATAATAGAATGGCCATGGAGTCATAACTTATGACTCATCTCACCATCTCAAAAAGTCAGTATCACCGACAGATCTAACTTCACGTCGAGGTCGAGGAGGGATCTCCTCCTTAGATGCCCCGAAGATGGGGTAGAGTCTTAGATGTCGCCCACCCTTCGAAGCTTAGAAAGTTCTCGAACATCCTACATCATCAAGCTCATCGATTCGAGAATCTCGATTTCTGCTTGCGACGTCGAAGTCCAATCCCGGATCGAGCGAGACAGATGATTACCAGTCCGACGACTGACTCTCGTACTGCGAGGCGCGCTCAGGGAGGTAGATCCTTCTCACACGGATTCTCCTCGCCGTCAGAGCAGCAGAATCAATCATACAGACCTGAGTACGTTCGTAGTTAGCACTCTATAGATATTCACCTGCATGTTGCCGCGTGGCGGAGCTCCGTCATGTAGAGGAACGGCGTCAGCGGATTAGAACAGATGCGCTCAGAGAGCCGTAATTCTCTCGCTTCCGGAATTCTCGCAACGTATGACGCTAAAAACGAGGACGTCGAACATTATTCCGAGAGGGCATCGGATCTGTATTTTCGCTTGGCGAACGCCACGCGAAGTACCCATTGATATGAGCGCGAATATCACCGCAAAAGTTCGGTTCGATCAAGGAAAGAATCTGCTTGCCAAAAGAGAACAACGAGGCTCTGAGAACGTAGACAAACTGCATTTTCAAGTCCTGATCCGGAGGTCGACGCCCGAAAGTCGAACGGAAGTTCATCTCGAGGCGCATCTGCCGTGGTTGGGCGATTAGGGTGCATTCATCGCCGGAAGCCTAACACTCGACGTCATCTGAGGCAGACAGAAAGGACCTTCCACGTTTGAAGAAGCTCCGCGGTTTTAATTCCGTTTGCGCCGAATTTCAGACGATGTTCGACATCGTCTTTTTTCATGGAGTCCAATAGAACGAAGATCAAAATGCAGAGAAAGTTTCTGTCGCCTTAATAATGGAACGGGATTGAGTCTATCAAAATATCGTACATACAATATAATTATAGTATATCGAGACTTATCGACGAAATTCATGTCCATTCCGGGGCCCCAATGATCGAATCGACCTTAAGGGTTAGCTCTTCATATTCTGAGATTGATGCCATGAGCACACATTGTCCATCTTGGTCAGCTCTCCGTCTACCAATTATCCTCATAGCGCTATGTTCGGCTCCGAGAGAGGATGAAGAATCAGGGTCGGATGTCGCGTCTTATCCTGGACCTGAGATGAAATCTCGAGCAAGAATAAACGTCCGACGATTTCAGTCACGTCACGCAGGTTTGCCGAGACTCTCCCCGTTCGAGACACGCGCCCTTCCGAAGGTCGTCTTCATTGAGAGAACATCTTCCGCTATTGTTGTTGTTTGGAGTTGCAATCCGATACTGGCTCGACAAGATGAGATTCCGGCAACGAAAGGAGAAGGTGTGAAATTCGGTCCGACGGGCATCTTTATTCGGCAATCGAGTTCTTCGGAGAGCCTTCGGTATGGCTATATATTAGCAGATGGTTAGTGCCGATGAGTAATTTGCTGCAACTAGAGCAGGTTCGGTCTCGCCTCGGACGAGGTCCAGGTGCTCGCTCGGGGAGGTGTAGAATCGACAGGTTGCAGGAATCGATATCCTTCCGCTTCGTGCTCGTTCGTCTCGTGCGGCTACAGGCTCCGTCACGAATCTCCTTACCGCGAGGACAAGCATCGTCCGCGCCGCGTTGTGTAGGCTAAGCGTATCCAGGACCCGAGCATTCTGGCCTGATCTAAGTATCGATGAAATCATGTTAGATTGTTGTTCCACTGATACTCTCTGAATCTCCTACCGGGATCATGCCGGGGTTCGCTATGAAATTTCCAGACGAGAAAAGAAGACACCAGATCATGGATAAATTGATATTCTCTCCCGCTAGTGCGATGGGAGGATAGTCTGAACATCATGAGCGCGCTCTACGGCTCCCGCAGATCGCGAACACTGAAGCGAGACTCGCGCATTGGCAATACGCAGCTAATTCGAACACTCCCCACGGAGTTCCGTAGATCCTCAGATGAACAAGGAATCTCAACTAGCGAGCGATGACGACTTTCGAATCTGCTGACGTCTACTACCTATGTAAGGCAGCCGGCTTTCGGTCCGATCAAATCTCTGTTGTTGCTGTCGTCAATTGTCTCGTTACACGATCGCGACGCAAGCAGTGGGCTCTCAACGATCCGGTAGGAGCACACGCTCATTTAGATTTGCGTAGGTAATCTTGTTCTTGATCTGAATTAGGTACGCAATTCCACGGAGGAAGGGTCTCCGGTGAGACTCGACGACGCTCCCTCTCTCGCGGCGTCGCGTCGGAATGATCAACAACGATCTTCGCTCATCATTCCCTCGCATGACAACCCCCGTAGCGGGGCTCCATAGCGGGTAGGTTGTTAACTCATGACTCATGATCTCTTGAATCTCTCCCGGGAATGGTACCTCCGGGAAGGATAATCCGATTATTATATCGTCCCGATAGGCCACCGCCGAACAGGCGTGCTTCGGCGTGAAAATCATTGACCCATTTTTGTAATTATTGAAATTCATCAACGGGATGCAAGGTTCCTGCGGACCATTGGGAGTTTGTGAGATAAGTGACCCGGGACTAAAGCGTGGATGGTTAATGGATTCCCGTCCTCCCTCATGGATTTCTCTCTTGCCACCGCGGACTATCGTCGAAATAATATGCGATCATTGAACCATACGGGCCTCGTATACCTTACACGGAAAATTGAGCAGTCGGCCTGGTAGGCAGCGATATCTCATCATCTAGTAGCAGCCCTGGCTTTATTTTCGAGCGGCTCGACGCGGTGTCATTGTGAGAAACACACCTGGATGGTTGTAATGGGATTGGATTCGAGAATTAATGAACGGACTTATCCGTTGTGCGGTCCGGCGGGTTATCGAAGTCGAGTTCTTGATGAGGATGAGTATTCAGGCGGGGCGCGGGTGTTTGCCGCCAAGATCCCCAATGAAAGCGAATAACAAGCTCATAGGTGACGCCGTCTGGATACTGCCCCCTCCCGGCGCCTTTTCGGAAACGACGGGCATCTCACTCGCTTGGACGGATAATCGGCGAGCGGGTGCTCCTTTCCGGAGCAGAAAACGTACGGGAATCTTCGGCGAGTCCGGGATCAGCGTTCCGCTGAAGCCGGGTACCTCGAGCTCGTAGCTTTTCGGAACTATGTCGAATCGTTGCAAAATCTTCGAGCAGTACACTTGAGTGCTCATGTTGGCGATATCCTGTCCTGGACACATTCGTTTACCTCTTGAAAATATCGTGAAGTTTTTACTGGGCTCAAAAATGCCCTTGTCGTTCAAATATCTCTCGGGAATGAATTTCTGGGGGCTCTCGAAGTTTCCGGGGTCAACGGTTTCTGAGATCGTGAACAGCACGATTCGCATGTTCGCCTCGACGGTAACGTTGCCGATCTGTACGGGGTTGGACGACCATCTCATTATTGTTGGCAGCGGAGGGCTCATTCGACAAGCTTCATGGATTGCGGCTTTCATGTAGTGGAGTTCGCCGAGGTGTTCTAGAGTGAGGGGAGCCGAGCCCACAACCCTGTCGAGTTCCGCCTGGATCTTCTCCTGGACTCGCTTGTGGAGTGAAATGTAGGACAGTGCGGCCATCGTTACGTGCCGAGTCGTGTGCGTCGAGGCCACCATGTTGAAGAGAGTTGTTTGACGTATGAAGTCGAGAGCTGCATCCGGCGATTTCAAACGGAGCACTGCTTCCACAAAATCCCTTGGTTCATCCGCCCCTCCCACTTTCTCCTCGAGTATGCGTTTTGTGAAATTGAAGTAAACTTTCTTCAGGAGACTGGGCCTCCACGCCTTAGGCAGATAATATTCAATGCTCAGAAACACCTTCAGGGGAACGAGTGAGATGAGCAGAAAGAAGTAGGGTATGATCAGCATGAGTTTGTCAATCTCTGCGACGATCCTCCGAGTGATTCTGACCCCGGCAGTGCCACCGAAATGGAGGTTCCTCGTTTCTTGTAGCTTCGCGATAGCGATGTCGCATTCACAGTCATATAAACGTCCATTTAGATCCTCGATGGTCTCCAGGAGACTATCAGCAACTTCCGCGATTCGCTCGAATTTCTCTTGCTTCGGTAGAACGTTGAGAGCCATCACGTTCGTTTTGCGCACGGAACGCCAATCGACGTGCTTTCGATTTTGGTCGAAAATGAACCACGACGGTCTACCGGTGGTCAAGTATCCGATGAGCTCTCCCATCGCCAGGGCGGGTCGGCTGTTGCAGTATTCACTGCTCTGGACATCGATCAGTGCCGAATTCTTCACGAACACGTAGGGTTGGAAGAATCGGGTCACGATGACGTCGGGCATGTACCGGAGGTACCAATTGAATATCGGAGTGAACAGAAATTTTGGCAAACAGAAAAGAGGCGCGATACCAACGATTGGTAGGCCATACCACACGGGCGGCCCATTGGATCTTGTGTACTTGGCTTTGAAGTATAAGTAATCCAGCAGTATGAGGCAAGCCGCGTAAAACAGGAATCCCATTTCCGCTGCCAATCTGAAACACAGAAAGTCCCGTCAGGCCGATTTATCTCAGGGAGGCGATTTCTTCCCGTGGAGAAGCAATCGACCCTGAATCCCTGCAGGTACTGCACGGGAGCCCTTCAGAGCTGATACAACATTCCGATGAGGCAAATCACTCGGGAAGTCTGGAGTATTCCCCCTCCACGAGGAGTGTCCCACTCACCAGAGGGTCCGGAGCTGGGTTTCGATTCTCTTGATTCTCTCACGTCCTCGATGGGGCTCCCTTCGCTCTGCAAAACATTCGAGCCGGGGCGTGAAGATCGGGTCTGGCGTGGGTTGGCATCCAAGTGAGTATCACTGCAAATTCACTCGGAGACCCGGGCCCTCGGGGAAGCTGCTGCCGCTGCCGAACTTCTCCAGCCCAGAATTCGGAGCCAAATTCGCATCCAAAAGATTGTTCAGTGAATCAGCAGATACGCACTCACGGGACTAATAAGAGAAGACAGATGGGGATGCGAAACAGAGATGGCATGAAATCCCAAAGGCGAGGCCGGATATGCCGCAGTCTGCGCGTCACCGCTCGTTCCACAGCGGCGCCTGCTGCAGGCATCCGGAACGAGTTTCCTTACTCGTTTCGACTGAACTCCTCCATTAAGTTCCGGAGCAGCTTACTCGGGAGGCTTCCAAATCCCGAGGCATAGGACGTAAATTGCTCATCAGGGACCACACGTTAGCCTGGCGGTCTGACGCGCGAGTCAATTAAAGAATGGCTTGCTCTTCCGGGGAGCTCAGTGTCAGTATTTGACTCGCTTGTTTTTTGCCCTCGTCGCTGGAGCCAGGCATCTTGAGCCGAGTGCCTGAAACGCCTGATAAGACCCTTCTTCGCGTCGTTCCTGTTCCATCGTCCATAAATGATTCCCTATAGACATTCCGCCTTCCTGCCACCCTCGAAATCTTATGTGATTGCTTCCAGTTTAGGTCTGGATGCTACGCGAGGGAGTTGTGCAGCTATGTCGCGCAACGGAGACGATCGATATCATTCGAAGAGCCGGTGGGGGAAGTAGAGTGAGATGTCGATATCAGACATTCTGCAGCCCTGTAGATGGGAATTCGTGACCCTGAGCTGAGTTGAAAAAGAGCTGTTGCTAAGCACCGTGAGATTATTCTGAATGGGTGATTAAGCCGTCTTCTTCCTCTTCCGATATCCGCAGTCGGCATCGAGTTTGTTTTCGGAACTCGATTCCGATCCAAACATTAAGGTCGCCAGTATCGCAAAAATCATTCGATTGATGGCTTTTGATTGGAGCATGCCCCTCTTTTTCGATATCAGTCGAACGGTAGCGGTGAAAACATTAGTTTTATCGGGTAGTGGACGATGGAGTATGATTACGTGTTTCATCGATCACCATCCATCTGGTTAAGCCTATGCACTTCAATTATTTTTCTTCTCTATCCGCGGTTTCTCGTCCGCACCGCGGGATGCTTCTCGCTCGGAGCATGCCCCCGAAACTCCCGATGCCCCCAGGAGGTGTCCTCTCAACTATCGGAGCATGCTCTTCTCGACAGTGGCGTACCTAGCCGGAATGACGTACAGGGCGAATTTGAGAAATGTTGCCCCATCAGGAGCTTCTCCCTAGGTTGGACCGCCTCGACCATTGTTCGTCCATGTTAGCGCCCTCTCCCCGAAAAGCGATGTTTCTCCAAATCTATTCCACCTGAATAGCGTCGCTCGACGTGCATTCGTTCAGGTGTCACCGTTTTTGTTCGGTTGCAACCGTCGTAAATGGCGCTCTCGGAATCGGCGTCCAGGTAAAGTGCTCTGGTTGCCTCCCCGCCTTAGCTACGCCACTGCTTCTTATAGAGCATGCCCTCCCATCATAGGACATACATTATGCATCCCGTCATGTCCTATGAACCCCAGGCGCAGGGCCGAGTTCCCTGAGCTGGTCATTTCCATCCTGCCCGTGGAGGAGGCCAGAGGAGTCCCTCAACTTCTGCGATCACCAATCTCGAAATCCTTGGTAGCTTTCACGAATACCTTCAGCGATAGTACTACCTCACCGGTCGAGAAGCTCGAGCGTCTGATTCGACCTAGTCAGCGAAGCCAAGCATACACATGATACATATATGTCTCTTCAGATAGTTCCTCGAGTTACCTCTATTCTCCCTCGAGCTCCGAAGGGATCTTAATTCCAAGGATTCCGCCCGAAGCATGATTACACGCCTGGGTGCAACGCTCTCAGAGAGAGAGTTTCGAAGAACTTCAAGGGGAGAATAGTGCTCCTCATAGAGGCATGGATCCGAGCAGATCTCGGCTCGGCCGGAAGGACACTCAGTGGAAAGCGGCGTTTCCTTTCGCAAGGCCAGGGGTTCCGCTTCGCTTGCTCTGGAAATGCGCGGAATTTCCCCACCTCAGGAAGAGTATGGAAAGTTCGAAAATTCCCTATCAGCATCGTTGAGAAAACGGCTCGGAGGATTTCATCGCACTCACCAGGCGGCACCCCGTACCTCATATTGGTGAGCAGCAGTTCCACAGAATCGAGAAGTCCGACAGGAGGCTTTCCCGTGGCGGAATCACTCCGAGGTTTCACTCCGTGCAATTATCCGGGGAAGGGGGGGTCTCCAATGAAGGGCTGAGAAATGGAGCTCTATCCCTGATTGCTTCAGTTCGGAGAATGTACCGCAAGCTGATATAGATGCTCCATCTTTTCTGGCGAAGGCAGGTTGAATCTTTCCTTCTTGGAATCTTCCTCCTTCTTGCTGTGTGACTGCAGGAATGCACGACCCTGTCTCCCGTACGGTCCTTCTTGCAATGCCGTCGACGTCGTGTAGATAAGCAACTCACGGTTGTTGCAGTAATTACCTTTCTACAAGTACGTCGAATGCATCCCGGGAGAATTGGAACGCTAGAATATGGTGTTCCGAGTTCCGAGTCGACGCGAACGAAAGCCCGCCGCGGGCTGCCATTGAATATCCGTCAAGAGTGTCTCTGTACTCGCCGCTGCAAGCCCAATTGAGTGCCATCACGGCCCAGGACGGCGATGAACGGATGTCCGAAGAAAAACGAAAAATGATCATTCATCTGAGTGCTATTTTTCGATGATTCGCTGAAAAGGAGAAAGGGAGGGGATGTTCCCATCTCGATATATCCGCTCCTATCATTAGGGCCGACCGAGCGCAGATTTCTCGCTCAGTCTCTGTGAGTGTGGTCACTCTCGATCGATCACTCAAAAATAAGACACCCATCGTTTCCTTGAGTCCGGAAGAGAGCCTTCAGAACACGAGCTCCGATGAGAGCGGAAGCGAAACGACTCCCCCACAAGATTCTTCATTTTAGGCGGTGGAACTTCGGAGCTCATTCCGGATGCTCCACCAATCACCAAAGCGCAATGCATTGACGAATTCAATTGAGTCTCGCTGCAGGACCGAACAGAATACAGAGCTCCTCTCTCACGAAACCCCTCATCGTTCTCAAGGGGTTCTTGGCGAAAACAACAAGATGGGGGGGGGCAAGGGCGCATTCGACCGTGCTTGCCGCATCATCACGTGGTGCGCTGTTTGCGGTATCTGTCAAATCTGTATCCAATTTCTCCGCTCGTATGATTGGCGATCTCGCTCACGGAACGAAACGCACGGGGAAGCTGACCGGCGAAGGAGACAAGTCGCTATCGTGCAGATAGATTTGCGTCATCTCAAGCTCTGAGCTCATTTCGCTGGTTTTTCATGACCACCGATCTCTGATCTGTGAGAAGTGATTCTTTGGAAGAAGGCCAGCGGCGGGGCTTTGAAGTCCTCAGAATTTCATGCGGTACCGAGCTCGGATAGTGAAGCTCACTCATACGCTCGAGAATCAATGGTGCAGATCCTGCAAGCGCAGAGATTTCTTCTGAAAGCTTCCGCTGATACACCCCGGATGCCGCGCCAGTAGAGTCTGGGCCTGGTACACACAACTTCCCTACGCTTCCCTCCCCGCCGAGAGAGCTATTCCCTAGGGCCTTAGGAAGACGATGAATTTCAGAGGGAGTATCAAATCTGGGACTCGCAATGAGATCGTCGTTTTCATCAGGAGCGTTCCTTGGACCAAGACAGGCTGCACGCTGCTATTCCCGAAAGTTCTCCCGAGCTGGATGTATCCGGCCCCCTGAAGTTTGTTCGCGATTTGTCCCTTCTCCACATCCCGCTGCCCCGCTCGGTTTCCGATGACTGCGAGCAGTGGATCTGTTACATCATATATTTGCCAGAACAATTGTTGCTCCGGCAGGTTATAAAGAGCTCTCAGGTTATTCTTTCGAGCAGTCTCCCGGTCCAGCTTCCCATTCCCGTGGTCGAATAGCGACCATTTGGGCCTTTCGTTGCAGACATATGAGGTCAGGGCCAACATCGGCCCGGTAGGCCGACACTATATATTGTCGTTGAAATTGAGTTCTCTGACTATTGGGTGAATTAGCCGCTCAAGCACGACGTCCGAAGCTGTTCTCACATACCAGCGGTATATAAGGGCATGCAGATTCGTTTCGTGAGAATTATGATAGGTATCACGCCGATGAAGGGAATTCGCACAAGACCGGTGGTCCGTTCCGATACGTGTGTTTGAACTTGAATTCGAACACACACTGAAAAGAAAACACCATCGAGAAAGGCATCACTCTCCAATGAATGTTCTAGAAGTTGAAGAGCACACCGTGACTTCCAGTGAAAGAGCGAATGTGGAGGTTTCACACAGGGTCGGATTTCACTCGTTGACTCGGGGGAGAAGCTTGTGTGCATCGCAAGGCCGCATCCGACCCAATCGGGAATCGAGAAAGAGTGATGTTGGAGTAGTGATCGACTCCTCGAAACTCGGGAGGCACATCAATCTTGTCAATATTTTGATCCACGAGAAAGCGTAACGAACAGCTTAAGTAGCCCTCGAAACACCACCCGATCCAGACATTGAAGTGGTCGTTGGAGTGCTCCGCGTAAAAAAACGAAATCAGCTGCCGATATGGAAAAAGAACTCACCAGTAAGCTTGATTGAGTCGAGATGAGTGTTTAATGCACCATCCGGGGACAATATAAGATCTTTGAGATACCTAGTGAATTTCATGAAGACTCGTCATTTCTTCGGGATATCTGTCAACTTTCACATAGGTAGAAGTACATGCTCTTCCTGAGTCTTCCTCCAGGGAGAAGCTGAAGAATGCTCTCCGATCTCTCCTCTTCCCAATTCAGTTCTCAAACCCTGCTTTTTCGATGCAAAAGTTGAGTCCTGAAATCTCTCGCAGGTGTGCAAATCAAAGTGTCTCGCTTCGAATTTTTCGAAGATTGGCTGGCTTGCGAGAATGGAAGCAACTTAGATCTCCTCGAGAACGTTTTGTTGGCCCGAATGAGCCTCGGGAGCGCTATGATAGAGGACTCCCCATCATTAGGACGATCTTTGAGTAAACACGCATCCATCTTTCGCCGGAGATACAACGGAAATTGTCGTAGTCGTACAACTTTTTTTGGAGAAGAAGGCCAAGTGGCTCGGTCAAGGTCCCATCATTCTCCTGGTTCATAGGGCCCACCTCGAGTCCATCCCGCCGGCTCCGAGGGTCGGTCGGCCTGTGAAACCTTCAGCAGACTGCGGGCCTAGAGCGAAGAAAGCAAAATAGGGTGCCCTCCTGGATGCGTCAGCCGATCAGTTGATGTTCGCTGCCGAACTGACCTTACATTCTCCCGGCGATCGCTTGAGGTCACAAGTCACGAATTTCTGGGGAAAACCGTGAGGCTCCATCAACTACTCGAAAGACGGGAGCTTGCAAAACACGACCGTTCGCGCCGGAAGAAGCTCATGACCAGATCCTCATATTCTCTGCTCCGGGAGATGTCGAGGCGCCTCGGCCACAACCTCTTCTCATCCTACAAAGAGATTCAGAACGCGAAAAACGCTTGTTATTCATCGATAGAGAGCGTTCTGATAACTGAAAACAGGATAAAGCTACCTCTGCGAGCAGTTTCAGATCTCACTTGTAGATGTCTGTGTCAGACCCAAAAGTCCAACCTCGAGACATTCATCGGTTTCGGCCATGGAGAACTAGGATAGTAAGTGAGGGAGTGTAATCGGGGCGAGCCCGTCCCCCCGGATACATTTCGACTGACTGACTGACGGGAGGAATGGAACATTCGATGTTCCCATTCGTGCGAGAAGAATCGGACGAGCTCGAGAAGCTCCATGCTGTGATGCTTTCTCGTTTGTTTTCTCAAGTCGCCGCTTTCCGTCACGATTACTGAGTAAGTGGGGTTGTGATGCGAGCGGAGGTCAGAGTCTATACAAGAAACGATTCAGCAATTCTAGTATGAGCTACGGATCCCTATTCGTCAATTCTTTCGTCCCTCTTAAGCTAGGAGTATCCGGCAACCAGGATTTGGTGTGGTGAAACGCGGTACCCGGTTCCCCCCGATATAGCCGTCCGATAGGAGGATCCAGAGTCAACTCATGAGCGATGATCACAAACTGCAGGCGCTGAAATCCACTATGGAGGAAATCAATGTCGACGGAGCAGAGAAAGCTATCATCGAATACTTATCCGCGGGTGCCACTATGGCGGCACAGACCAAAACGAAAAAACCATGGTTCACGGACAAATGCCGGCAACTGCTTGCAAGGGTCAAAGACCTCCTGAAGAAATCACGAAGAGGATCAACAGGAAGCAGAGATGAATTCAGCCAAGCCCGTGAGCAATACCATGCAGAGATCGCAGCCAGCAAACGACGCTGTGCGGAAGAGAAGGAAATGCGCTTGGTAGCCGAGGCAGAAGAGCAACCGCATCGCTACATCTTCAAGAACAAGAAGGCCAATTCCTGCAACGCCACGCCGGAGCAAATCAGAGAACATTTCGAAGGACTACCCTTTGACCCCGTCGCGGCAGACCTGGAAACACGAGTGGAACTACCACTGACGTTCGATCAATGGATGATCAATGTTCCATGGACACCCGAGGAAGTGCAAGCGGTCATCTCGTCACTGCCTAACCGGAGAGCGCGGGTCTCGACGGTCTATACTACGAACACTGGAAGGAAACCAGTCATCTCATGTTGGAGCTAATCACGACGCTGTTCAACAAGGTAATGGATGAAGGCAGAATTCCCGACTCGTGGCACAACTCTCGCCTTACCTTGCTCTTTAAAGGGAAGCCAGGAGACCCAAAGAATGACATGAATCTGTTCAGAGGGATCGC